GACTAGATAATATATCATGACAAAGTTTCATTTGTATTCATATTCAAGATCGTCATGATTAAAACAGCGACCGTTTCGTTTTTTACAAGTTAAATTTATTATACTGTAACATATTTCATGGATTTACCCCTCATTTAAATCATTTTTAAATGACGGTGTCTTTAACTAGGCAGAACTTCTGTTCTTGCACATTTTCATTTAGCAGTGCCCCGGGAGAATAGCAGAACGTTACAATACATTTCCAAGGACAGGCTGTCCTCGAAACTAAATGGAGGAACTCGTAAAGCCAGTTACGAGAACGGATCCGTTTTCGTAACACAATGGCGCAACCTTGAAGGTACGATCTATCTTTTTTAAGATTTCACGAGTTGTAGGCAAAATCTTCACGACCGTTTTGGTACAAACATGTGTCAGCATCATATGTTTATGAAAATCTAATAATTTGTGAACGAATAGTTCACGAGGCGCCAACATGATCAAAATTTTTCCTCAGTATAATTATGAATACGGAACTGTTAAAAGTGCAGATATTTAACCGTTTTCAACGTTCCGTTTTCATAACTTAAGTGGAGAAGTATATCGATGATTGTGTCGTCTTATGATTATTCGATCGCAAACGTTACGATTTTCTGAAACATATGTTGCTGCCACACAGTTTTGCCAAAAATGTCGTGGACATTCTACTTACATCTTGAGAATTCATGGAAAAAGTAAAATCGTAGCTGCGACATTTTGTTACGTAAACGGATCCGTTTACGTAACATTATGAAGAGTTCATCCACAGTGTATTCATCATAAGTTTAGTTTACCTACTCACCACTCTCTTCATAAGTGCAATCGAAACTAAATAAGTATATAATGTCAGGCATAAATCCTCATCATGTGAAAGTCCTTGTTCAAAACACATATCACACAAACTATCATTGCTATAAAAATGACTTTTGGTTTAATAGTATTGTCCAATCCAGATCAGATGTAGGTTACCTCGCCTGTATACTCTAGTAATCAGAAGTCTCTACTGATTAAAAAAATATTTTGAGTATACATACAAGGATCGATCAAAAAGTTTCTTACCGTTGGCTCTAGGTTTTATAATAAGAGGAGTTGAATGCTAAAACTTTAACAAGAGACAGGGTAGTTAATTTGCTTGAAACTCTATGAGTTTCATATAATTATAATTTATATGAAACTCATAGCTATAGAGTTTCAAGCAAACTAACTACCCTGTCTTGTGTTAAAGTTTTAGGATCCAACCCCTCTTATTATAAAATCTAGAGCCAACGGTTAGAAATTTTTTCATCTACTCTTGTATAGTAAATAAGAACTAAATAACACAAATGTCTTTGTAAAACAAATTGCTTATCACAGAAGATATGTTTAACGTGTAATTATTGATATACAGGGTGATCCAAAAAGGTAACCTCAACAAATCTTTATATTTCAGTCATCCAGTATGGGTTTAAGATCGTATTTCGCACAATTAAATCTTATTTAATATAAGTTTCATTGATCTACTCAAAAACGGTGAACATTTCATGGTCATTTTACCAAACATGCCCGAAATGCCGGTCTTGTCTTGAAAGCAAACTTGAACGTATCGGGTGAAGTTTTCTGACAACACACTCACAAATATTTTGTGTAATTTCTCTCATTTTCCTTCTACTCTATTGACGTGTCGCAAAAAGGTGGCGCATTTGTTTTTTAGGGGTATCGCGTGAATGTAGCTTTGATTCCCCGGATTCTAAAATAATATTCTAATTAAAGTTGTATATCATTTTAAAGCTGTTTCGATGAAGTTTTTAGATCAACTACACTCCGTTCACAATTCTTGCGCGTTCTTTTTTAAAAAAGAGTTTTTTACCAAAACATCTGGCAAATATCCCCTGTTGACACGTTACATTTTGAATTATTTTTCGTCTTTAAACGCTCATAACTCAAACAATATATGACTATTATACTAATTTTCCGTCTTGATAAAGGTAGATAGAAGTTTTATTTCAAAGGATGAATTTTAGTAAGCGTCCCATATTGTGACGTCATAGAGTTTGAAAAATAGAATCTGTTGACAGCGACCATTTCTGCTCATTTTTTTGTTCCTTCAACTTTTCAGGTGTACATTAAACAAAAAATACGTGATCAATTTTTAATAAATCATACATGATTATTTTGCTCCTAAACTCTAGTTTATTAATAAATAGTTGATTTTGTTCGCAAAAGTATGTGTTTTCTTTCGTATGTGGAAAAGTGGAGGACGAAAGGTTTTCAAAATTCATCAAAATAGGGCTAATTTACGCCATTCGCCTATTTTCAAGCACAGCAACACGTATATTTATTTCACCTAAAATATCAATTGATTCGTGTTTTATGATGCTCCTAGTCCATTAACAATATATATATGATATCAGAGTTATTCGTCTAAAATGTTTTGAGATAGAGAGGTAAATGTGGAGGACGAAAGGATTTTCATTTGTGTACATTTTTCTCAAAAACGTCACATTCTACCATGTTAAAAGCGAGGATCCTCTGTATTACGCCACAAAATGTGTAACAATGCGTGCGCGAGCTTTTTGCGATACATCATTGTTTTAGTGAAGTCACAAAAGGTACAATTTTGGGAATTCAGATTGTGTTATTTTGGTATGTTTTGGCATTTGGAGCATGTTTTTTTTAAAATGACTATTTTGGAGCATGTTTTGATGAAGACTGACAGTCTGACACGACCAAAAGTGTCCCATGGTCAGGAGTGAATAAATCGAAGAGGAAAAAACTGCAGAAACTGCAGAAGACGGTGACAAGCTGCGTCATTAGACGGTACGATTTCGAATTCACGGTAATAGGATGTTAGGAGGATGTTATGAAGCCGTTATAAGGCCGTCAGCACGTCAATGGACTGTTACCTGGGCGTTAAGCGGCTGGTACCGTGAAAACGCTTTTAATGTGACATTTCAAACACCCGTTGGGAGCCCGTTTATTGGACGGTACCAAAGCGGTAAACTGTCGTTCGCAACCCGTCGCTGATTGAGTCAACGTCCCCCATCGTCCCATCACCGCCTTGTGAACGTGTCCTTAACGGCCGCACCGTTCTCATACCATTCCCATACCGCTATCGCCGTTCGCAGCCGAACGTTAGTCAAACGGAAAAAGTTTTGAGCATGCTCAAAAAATTCGCCGGGTGTGGATGGCCGGCAACGTTCCTTGAACGTTTTCAAACGGCCGGGAAACGGCCCACCGTGTGACCATGCCGGCCATCGCCGTCTGGCCATAATTAGCCACACGGTGGCGAACGGTGGGCCTACACGGCTAGTGTGACCGCTACTTTAGCGGTGCACCGCTGAAGCCGGCGTTGCTTTAGCGTTGGTTAGGCGGTTGCGAGCGGTAGCTAGCGTTTGTTTAGCGGTAATGCGAGCGTTGGTATAGCGGCGTTCTGCGCATGAGAGCGTTGCCTCGGCGGGGGTATAAATAGCAGCAGCGTTGGTTTAGCAGCATATCGCGTTTGACTACTGGGAAATTATTTCAAATGGGAAGTGTTTAAGAGTAAAGACCTTAATTGGATTTTGTAACTTTAACAAAAGTCCTTCAAAGATTAAAGAAGAAATGTTTTAAATCTAAAGTGCTTCTATTAATGTAATATGGCATTAAAAATGAATAACATTACAATTTTCTTTAATAATCTCTCATATCATTTCGAACAAACATATCACAATTTAATCGTTGCATTTCCATTACTTGGAACCGATTTACGTTCAAATTGCTTTAACAATGTCAAATAACATTTACAGCAAAGTAATAATCATGACGCATGACAAATTTTTGCATTGCTGTGCGCGCATCAACTTTTTGTATAATACCATGATGAGTGCAACATTTTACAAGCTGCGCAGAAAATTCACAGATAATTTATTGAATTGCTTGACGTGAAAACACTAGGTATATACTATATTTGAATAAAGGTCTCAGTAAAAGTCTATTTGTATTAACATTTAATGAAAAACAAAAATCGCATAATTCACCTTTTTAAAATCCAAAATCACAAACTTTGCGCGCTTAATTTAGGAATTTACAATGCAAAAAATTGAAATGCCAGACATGAATATATATCAAATGTAAAATGCACAAGTGTCTCCACAGTGTTCTACACAGTGGTGCATTTCTCCACGTATTAATAGCCAAATTCTGGTCCCGCTCCGACACCTCTATACCAACGCCAAAGCAAAGTTCATCGCCGCCATGGGACGCTGCGACAACGTCCGACACCGTTCCAATAACCCCATGTACGCTGATAAAACGCTAACAACCGCTCCACCGACGTTTGTGCAACGTTTAATCGCCGCCCGGGCAACGCTGGCGAAGCAGCGTTGGTCCAGCGTTTAAGATTTCTGCGTTGGTCTAGCGGATTCAAGCGTCCACGAACTTGCGTCTAGCGGTGCCAAACTTTGACTGGGCGTTGGTGGAGCGGTGATAAACTTTGTCAGGGCGTAAAATTGTCCCTTTTTCAACGCTCGCAATATTTTGAGCAGCTCAAAACTTTTGGAGCGTTAGGATGGCCACTCGAGAAACATCCGCGTTGGCCGAGCGTTTACAGCGTTGCTTTAACGGATGTCAACTTTTGTTAAACGGTGGTGAACGTTTACGAGCGTTGATGATTTTTTTCAACGTTCAAAGAACGCTCCAGCAACGTTTAGACGGTGTGACCGGGCCTTAAGGTTAAGATTGCACTGTTTAGCTTCGATGTATGTTGTGTATGCCTGTGATTGGTTAATCTCAGATCAGCTGGGAGTAAGGTTCCTGCCTACTGTTTACATGGTTTAGCTGTCTGTCGTATCAGTTGCTAATTGTGTCTGCCTACAAGTGCAGTTTATCTTGTTTCATTACTGCGAGACGAGGCAGTCAAGGTCCTTAGTCCTCTTCAACCTGCAGAGAGAGTTAACTTTGAAGTTCTCACAAAAACTTTGAGATTGTATTTTTCTCCAATACATGATAGTCATTTCTATTTGTCAAAATTGCAAAATCGGAAAAGACAGGGTAGGCAGTCTGATGAGTCTTTCCTTTCTTTGGCTTTGGAAATTCAAAGTTTGGTTCATGAAGCTTTTCCTAGTGTATCCCCTTCTGAAAAGGAGAGACTTTCTGTGGACTATTTTATTGATTCTTTGAAACCTGATGCTAGCCTCAACTGGTCTGTGAAAGAGAAGTCTCCAGCGACTTTGTATGATGCAATTTGCCAGGGTACGTTATATGAGGACCACTGGTACAAAGAACGTCATCGTGATGCGAAAATGTGCCCCTTGAAAACAAGCCTCGTTAAAGGTTGTGCTGAGGAGACAACCTCCGCATTTGGTTGTGCTACAGAAACTGATTGTGCCAAAGAAACAACAATCACTAATAATTGCATTAAGAAGATGACATCTGTAATCGATGGCAGTGCTAAGAGAACAGTAATTGATACTGATTGTGCAAAGAGAATGGATGACGTCAGTGATTGTGCTACCCATACAAAATCTATTATTGATTGTGCTAGGAGATCAACTATTGACAATGATTGTGCTACCGAGACAATCAATGCTAATGATTGTGCTTCGATGAATTCTGCGTTACATATAATCGAGACAGCGACTTCGACAGTGATAAACACTTTATTGAATGGTGAATGCAGAGACATTTTGGCGAAATGTAAGGCGCCCTCTATTAATAAAACAACAAAGACTAGGAGCTACAGAAGAAAGCATCATTTGTGCTACAAATGTGGGGACGTAACCCATATGTATGTGAACTGCCCGTTGAAACATACTGCCATTAGAGACGTTTAGGTGATATATTATAATCTATGTAACAGCTGAATGAAAAGTCAACATTTGATATTTAGTGATAGATGATGATGAAACAAGTGATAACTATGCTATTTATATTCAACAGTTTTGTGCTGAGCCATGATGAACTATGATGCCATCTATTATTCTACTATTAGTGCGATGCTGATTAAGGACTGATCACCCTGAAATCATGATTTGTAGTACTGCATTTGTTATACATGGACACTAATTTGGATAATCATAATTCATTTTAGCTGCATAATGCGTGATTATATGCATCGATTGTGTATTGTGTAGTTTATATTTTTGTGACCTGTATAACTGTTATATTTTTGTAATCTGTATAATTCATGAATGATAGGTTGGGAAGATATTGTACATTTTTATTTGATGACATAGTTTTTTATTGTTACCCTTTACTTACAGTGCGCTGTGAGTTCAGGACGAACTCTTTTTCAAAAGAGGGGGTTATGTAATGATCCTGGCTCATTACTTTTTATTTTATCATGTCTTTTATATTTTGCTTTAATTTTTGTTGCATTATATTTTATAGGGAAATATTTGAGTTGACATGTTAAGGCTAGGCAGCACTATAGAGCATCAGTCTACATGTGTTTTTAAATCTTTAGCCAATCAAATTTCAAGATTAGTTAGCTTGTCAGAGAGCTGACCAATAGCATCCTGGTAAAGGATTCATATTGTTTAACAGTAGGTGTTAAGTTAGTCTGAAAGTCTTAGTTCGGAACTGACAAGGGAACAAAATCTTTGAAACAAGAAATAATGCATTGTGATACAGTTTTGGATTAAGTTTGAGATGATAGGAATTGCCTGCTAGTAAAGAGAAACATCAATGGACTGCTAAGATGGGTGACTGATCTGGATATGCTTATATAGAACTGATATAAAATAGACTTTGGTTGCAGATTTACTATTATAGTGTGGGATGAATATATGTCAGAGTATAGTGGACAATTGCCGAATTCCTGTGAACTATTTTTATTAACGCAAGACTTTCGTAACAAATTCGCAAGATTCGTGTATTCCAGACCGTGTGAACGTGCAGAGACACAGAGCACACCCACTCATGGCAGCATCTCAAGCAGGGTTTCGCTATTAAGTATTCTTATTGTTCACGTTCTGTTGGTGTTCTGAACTTTAGTTTAGTTGCTTTTTTCTACCTTGTTCAGTTTGATCAAAGATGACTATTATTGCTGAGCGTTCCATTAGGTTAAGTTGTCTGCGATCACTGTAAATACGTTATTGTGCTGTTATGAGATAGATTGTGTCATTGTATGTTAGGTAGAGATGGATTAGGGAAGAATGGATAAGTGAGTTTCGCTTTAAATCAAGAGTAAGTTAAATAAGATCGGTCCCGTTGTGAGAAACGGTATCTTATTCGTAACTTCGTGAAACTCTTTTATTATGTAAATATTCATTTATAAATATATCATCTTTCACATTATATCTTACATATTAGATTTATAGCATCATTAAAACTTTATAATCTAATTTCTTTGTCTGTTGTTTTGCATAGAGTGGTGAATTTGATCTTAGTTTATTTTCAACAGATTGTTTCATCTTCATTTAAAACCCATATATTTAAGGGGTCATATCAAGCTCACGTTCGCAATCTGTTGAGAATACTTAGGGGCAAGTTGTGTTTAAGTTTCAATTTCAATCATTTTATATTGGCAATTGTGTTCCTTGGCTTTGATGCACATTCACAGGAATTTTCAATTCAACAAAGATGACATCATTCGTGAATGGGCAGCAAGGAGGCCCAGGAGATTAAGACTTGCTTTTGTATGACTGATCTTAAAATAACTGTTGAAACATCATGTTCGAGCAGCATTTTAAAAGTTGCTGATGTTGAAAATTTTGAAAACCGATATTGGTTGTCTGTCCATGCTGTGGATTTGACCAATCATCAACAACGTTTTCTTGGGTTATTCCCCCTCTTGTTGAAGCCAAAGTAGTTACTTGAAATCTAGGCGTTGATTTATTCACAGTAGAACTAGACGTTACAATTGTACTTCTATAAGTAATTTTTCATCCTATAATGCTACGTTTACCAAACAGTGTCATGTATGATATTTCTTGAGTATAAATGAGTAAAGAACATTGTGACTGAGTGTAATTAAGTATCACGCGGGAGCGTGACAGAACCCCAGACAGAACGTAATTGGTTAATCACAAAAAATTAAAAGGGCGCCAAGGTTATTTACTCATTCATTCATTCATTCATTATATATTTATTCAATTCAAAAAATATACAGTACAGAAGTCGCTGGCTAGCGCACTTTGCATTATACATGTAGGCTAGCATCTCAAGTTATACATAAAACAAAAATTAGGGAAGGCGAGTGAGTAAGTGCCAGTACAAATTCAACAAACTTTTCTTTAATTCAGAATCCTTTCCAAGTGAAAAGGAATTTTGAAAAATTAGAGATCCAATTTTTTCTTGTCCATTGAGTGGGGTCCACATGTGTTTTTCAAATAATTATCATCTAGCATGGCTCAGCGACTCGTATTGTTGTAGGGTCTGTAGATCCCAGCTATAGATAATTCAAAATGGAAATAGAAATGAATAATTACGTAAGTTTTTCTATTTTTATTGTTTGTACGTATGGGGTTCATGGCTTGGAAATCTACGGGAAAATCTATTTTTGCGACAACTTAAACGCTATTCAATACCGTAGAATAGCACCTAGAATCGCTCAGAACGCGCCAAATAAGCCCAAATATCAAAAAATTTCCAGGGGGAGCATGCCCCCGGACCCCCCTAGTTTGGCTAGGCATTCGGCCTCGCCAGTCGGCCTCCGGCCTCGCGTACTAACGCCACTAATCCTGGCTACGCCCCTGATTGCAATCACCCCCTTCCACAGTAAGCACTATTTTGGTCCAGTTTGTCATTTAAAGGTGTCATATTATTCCAAATTTCCCTTAATGACCAAGTGAATAATTAAATAAACTCAATTCAAGATCAAGTTAAAATTTAGTTTCGTAATATTCCCGGCCCTAGCCACGCTACCAAGTTTTGTTGTTCAAAGAGACACGATGCCCATGTCAAGCAGCGTGCCTACTAGGCACGCAGTTTGAAACTCTGACAAACTGCGCGCATATTTCAAAATGTGAGACGGGGAGGACACGACTCCCAAAAAGAGCCAAAATACGAAAAATACAAGGTTAGTCTCGTTCTAAAGATAGTACCATTCTGTGAAGATGAACTTAATTTACTCATAGTACTCAATGTTTTTCCCGATGTAAACCTAGTAATCTCAATATAAGGGTCTTAAGTAACTTCTGTGTTCAAAATTTACAGTGTAAAGTTATATCTATGTCTTTTTATCGTCATTTGCCGTTTATTCAGCCATTGTGTCTGTGTATGCTAGAATATATAGGATCCCTCCATCTGATTAAATCAGCAAAGTTTGTGTTCAAAACGATAATACGCCATAAACGTGATTTAAACATTTTTCTTGTCAAACTGCGCGCCTATATTCACATGTATTTCCCAAACTGCGTGCCTATTCAAGCTTGTTTTGTATTATTAGAAAACATAAGCGCCATACAAGGCACATATGTGTCTAATAGTAGAACCCCATAATTGAAACACTATGAGAGTCCATCCACCAAGATGGTGATCTGAAAATAAAAGTTTTTTTCGTTCCCAACTTAATTGTCACTTCTATTATACATTTTGACTTTCAATATGAAAATCTCATAAAATCTGACGATAAAGCAAAATTTCCAAAGCTACATGAAAAACACCTACACGTGCCTCTGTAGAAATTCCAATGATAATATGTAGTTTTAATAGTGTATGCACACAGTTTGTAATTTCTGGCTAAAATAGGCGCGCAGTTTGTGATTTATTTCTTTTTAATCTCCTGATTATCTGTTTTATCTCGAAATATTTTGAATTATACATGATAAATGTGTAAGGAATTAAATATAAAACGAGTCTAAAGTATTTGTCATTTATGTTTAAAGTGCTAGATCGATTTACGTATATACATTCCCGTTAAATCAGTGACGAAAATGCCATTAATATGCTTATGTTTTAAAACTTAGATTCATTTGCACATAGTTTTTGCTAGTATTTGCAAGATTCGTATATTCGCCACAGAATGAACGCATTGAACAAGAAAACAATGCAGGATAAATGTCTTTAAATTACGTTTCAAAATACAGACTCCAACTTAAATGATGCAATGTTCTTAGGCACGCAGTTTGTGATCGAAACAAACTGCGCGCCTAAGTAGGCGCGCAGCTTGACATGGGCACCGTGAGAGAGGGCCCGGCGATTTATTACAAAGACCCCCACGAAGTGCGGTTCTTTGTACCTTATTCCGGACATGGACCAGTGGATCGGTCACGTGACCTAAATACCGCCTTTATTACCTTATATGGCAAATTGTCAAGGGAACTACTAAGTCGTCATATGACGCGATTACGGATCGATTGTGTTTCCAAGTAATGTCGTCATGTGACGTAGAACGCATTGTCCGCCATTGCTCTCAATTTTGTCTGAACGGGTAAGCGTATTTTAACATTTCTGTCATTTTAAAGCCTGGTTTTCAGTATTTATAATCGAATTTCACTTCAACTTGATTGTAGAAATGAATAGAATTGTAACTTCTATTTTACTGAATCATTATTCGAGCCAGAAATGGCGCAAAATCAATTTATGAACTTGAAGAAATTTAGTTACTCATGGTTCAACGAGTTTTTCAGATGGTTCAAATTTACTCGAGTCTCTAGCTTACAGCTAGACGAAACTTCATTGATTTCGTATGTACTGTGCTACACGCACCTACACGCACCTAGAACTCATTTTTAATAGATTTTATAAATATTTTTAAGAATATTAATCATATTTAGGATGAAGCGTTGCTTGTCTGGATTTAGATATTTCAAAATTTCATTTCGGAGTTTGACACATGGTGAAATTTTCTCGCTGTAGCTAAAAATGGCTTCCGGTTCTGGACGTGAATAACATTTGAAATTATTCTCGCTTAAAGAAATCAAATATAACAATAGATTCAGACGGGGATGTGAGCTGATGTTCTTCAAATCTATACATAAAGGTATATTTCATATTATTATGCCATATTTACTGTGCGTGTGACACAATGATTTACAATATTTATAATACTAAGGCAGCTCAATCTTCCTCCTCAAAGCCGGAATATAGAGAAGGCTTTGGACCGAACATGGGCTCTACCATGGACCGAAGTAAGTTCAAATAGCCTAGTCAACACTGATATATTTAATATTCTGTAAATGGTTAGTATGATGCTATGCTGGTCGCAAGGAGAGGTATCAAAAGTTCAATGTCTGATAGGAAGCTAAATTAATCTAGTTTTGAGGTTGACCCCCTCCCCCCCCCCCCCAAAAAAAAAACGTGATCATCGCGGACTTTTCGCGTGTGGACTTTCGTGGATTTTGGATTTTCATTGGGATATAAGTATAAGCCTACCATAACGTATGTAGGCTACAATGTAGAATTCTTAAAACATGTGATCGACAACAACAGTAGGCACAGCATTTGCAGAAAACATCAAGTAAACTCTTTATTTTTAAACCATTCAAAGGAATTCTGATCCGAGTCAAAATTGCACAAAAATTGAAATGTTAAAATTTGTCTGATAGATCTAGCAAACTGAAATGGCTTTGAACCCCCCCCCCCTAGATTTATTTAGTTTTATAGGCTTATCCGTCGACATTGAACCTTAGATGCCTCCCGCGAGACTTATGTCACGAGACTGGCTATTACCATCTACATAAGAAGTGAACGATAGTTTTTTAAACTGGGAGGTCAAGGTCGGAACTCAAATGAATATAGACTGCCCCAATTCATTTCTTTTTCAGAACAAGAACGCCAACAACAACAAGATCCTATGCATTCGACCACGCACACCAACAACAAGTGCAACAACAAATAACGCAAACAATTATAAAGGTTATGTCAACAAAGACATCATATTACAAATCAGGTGTGAAATCGGCAAAACTTGGGCTCAGTAGACAATAAAAAAGTTTACTGTAGAAGTGTATATGCTAAGGTGTCAAGGTATGTATCAAATCAAGAGATCAAAAGACTAAAAGCTAAGGTATATTTTGTAGCAATAGAGAGGTAAAGCATAATAACATTTTTATTACATGAACCACAAACGTAAATCTATACATTACCGTTTTCGTTCTGTGAACGTGCTACTTTAAAAACGGAGGAAACGTAATTTGTAGGTCTTAAACTTAAAACTGGTTGATTATTATGTCGCTTTTTTGTTTATGTTGCAAGAAGTACTAATACAATAATATTGTACTTAAAAAACTATTAGTATGAACTGTATGAATACATGAAATATC